ATCATAAGCAATAATAACACTTAATGGCTTATTGGTCAAGTGGAACGGAGATGCAAAAAGAGGATAATGAATGGAGAAACCATGGGATCAAGGAATAGAGGTTGTTATAAAATTTATGCCATATTAGGCAAAAACTAATTATTTTTAACATTCATGTACCTATAAATCGTACCACTCCAATGGTCTCTTTTCGGCAGAACTAACACTATTTCAAAACGTTACGTTCACCAACACTATTATAGTGTTGAAAAGGTATTTTCAATCATCAATTTTCTTTTCAAGAGCACCACTTTACCACTGCAACAGTTAATTTATTCAAGATATTTGGTATGTTATGCATAATACATCCCCTCAATAAAAGTCTAAAATGAGTACTACATGCATGTGAAGTAATGCACGCATCACATCGTATCATGCTTACTGAGTGCAGAATATTAAATGGATGAGAATGTGCATATGCAGGTATGCATATGACTACAAGTACTTGTGTCTAAGCATGCATGTAACTTCCATAAAATTTGTATCACAAGCAGACCTAAGTAATGATCCACATTAAACCAACAGGAGCATATTAATAAAATACCACAAAGAAAGTAGAACATACAGGTTGATGGACTCCCCTGTTGACAATCAGTCATTGTAAGTACAGTCTCTTTTCTTGATGCATATTCTTCAGGAAATTGCTCCTCCAAAAAATGCTTCAGAACCAAACAAACATTTGGGAACCCATTTGGATGAACACTTGGACATAAGTGGCAACTACACGCCTTATTTCCTGGATTGATGATGCAAGCTTCACAATATACTGCAAAAAGGAAGATGCTGAAAAAATATGAATTTTCCAATAATAATCTATTTCCCAATGCACAGAATGGCTATTTAAAGTGGTAAGGTTTACCATGGCCACAATTGAGAACTACAGGTCGACAGAGAAGTTGCTTGCACAAAGCACACAGCAGATCAGTAATAAATACCCGCTGGCAAGTTCCATGTGCAATTTTATCTCCAGGCATACTAATTTCTTGACCAACCACATCCCCCATGGCTTGATAACTCGATGTGGTAGTTGTATTCTCTTTATCAGGTCGATTAATTTCGGATGAAGATTTAATTAGAGAAGTTTTCCCTTCACATGAACCATATTCTAAATGCCACCTTTCATGTAAACTGGTAGTAGAATGTGGAGAAGAGGCATCTTTATTATCTAACTCCGTACCAAAACTGGATGCCGATAGATAATCATCAAATTGGGGTGAGAAGGATCCAGATTTCTTCTCTTCTTCTGGAACATTGAAGATGAAACAGAATGACATTAGATACTACCACTCTATTAGATACTAGGATTCAGTACACTGTACACAATAGGTCACTAAAGTTTGCAGTGATTTTAATTTGGTCTTTAACCTTTTGTTCTTGTAAATTTTGTCCTTGAAACTAATGACATTGCTCCAATGTGGTCCCACGTATTAATACATGACTGATATTGAGGGACATTTTTTGTCATTTAGTATCCAAATAATGGAAATTCAAAAAATCAAAGAAAAAGAAAAAATAGAGGTCGCCTCCCTCTCACAACCCATCCACCGCAAGGATCCACCCCGAACACCAAGCAACTGTAAACTCCAACTTGCCACTCTCTAACGAACACCTGCAAAGATTCCCTTTTGTTAACATACTTTGAACCAACCCCCTGCCACTATCTCTGCACACAATAGACACCCACTCCTCCAACACCTCCCCCCCTCCCCCCCCAAAAAAAAAAAAAATAATAATAATAATAACCCAAACCCACCTTTCAAACTCCATAACATTTCCTTCACCTTTCAAACTGATGGTGGGCGACATTTCAATCATTGTTTATCTCAAAAGGGCATAAATTCAAAAGAAAAAGAGATTAAGATGCCTCCCATTCTCTATCACCCCATCCACCCTCCATGCAAAGATATACCCGAACTCCAAGCAATCATTGTCGTTCCCATTAACCACCCATTCTATCTGTCTCTCTAACCAATAACTGCAAAGCTACCCATTCTCTAACATGCTGCAAACAGCCTAAACAACAAATGCCCACTCCTCTCTCTCTATCTCACATTCAGTCCCAACCACCACCAAAACCCACCTTACAAACTCCGCACTATTTCCTCCAAAAGAATGAAAATAGGATACAAAAGTTCAAATTCCTTCAACCTTCGTACATTTTAACAACTTAAAATACAACATAAATGAACCTCTTTCCCATATAACCCTAAATAACTCAAACAACCATAAAAAAAAAAAAAAAAAATTCCACTTGAATTCATTCAAACTTTAAAACATTTCCTCAATGGAATAAAAACCAAAATTTTATTCAAATCCTTAAAAGGATTGGGATTTTCTCCTCATCAACTTCTAAGATAAAGATAAGATCCATTGGAGTTCGTTGTAACTGCTTCCATAGAAAGTGGTCCTGCCATAGATATTCTGGAGGTGTGGGAAAGCTGAGGTTTGCTCTGCATATGTGTTTGATCTGCTGCCAAGACAAAGTTCTCATGGAGTTTTAGCGAAACCATGAATGGAATTTTAAGAGAGAGAAGAGGTGGGTTTTTTGTTGTTTGCTAGAAACTTGGAATGAGTTTGCAATCATTGGTTAGAGAGAAAGAGTGGTGGGTTGACAAGGATGGGGGTGGTTGCTTTGCGTTTGGGTGGGCCTTTGTGGTGGATGGAGTGGTAGAGAGATTAAGACGGAGAGGAAGGCAGCCTCTTTTTTTTTTTTACTTTTTATTTTGCATTTATGTCTTTTTTATATATACAATGACAAAAATGTCTCAATATCAGTCCTGTGATACAAACATGATTTTTTCGATCCAAAATTCTAATAATCGTTAAAAGAGTGGATACGTTGAAGCAAATGACAATATTTGAAGGCCAATTTGAGAAAACTCAAAGATTAAGGATCAATTTGAAATTTCCAACAAATTTCAAGGACCAATGAATGATGTAGTAATTAACCCTAGATAATACAGACTAAGAAATGATAATATTAACCAGTCTGGTACTACATGCTTCAACAGAGGTGAGCACAGTAGTGATATAGAGCTAGTAACTTAAAAGACAGTTTAACAGAAAGGCAAATTAAAATTTAAGTTAAAAAATACAACATCAATTCATTATATAAATCCCTTAGAATTTCAAATGATGAACCATATTGCACCAATACAGAGATGTCAATTTAACTAGGCATACAGTCAGACAGATCCAAAACCATATCGACCATCTGGTTCTTTTGTGATCAATATTGGTAGATATATATACTGGTAAAAATTTTAAAGCTTGGCTGCTCCAACTATATAGTCAAACCAACTTGATCCTTCTGGATTTTATCTTTATTTTTCTGCATCATATGTCCAAGCTTGGGTTATTCTGATATAGAATTGACTGAGACTGATTCAGACTTTAGACCAAGTTAAAAGGTGGGGTAAATCAATGAAAGCTGATAACAGTTTTCTTCTCCGATGTATGATGTGTGTGCATATATCAAGCCACTTCTCAATCTATGATTCATTAATAAAGTTTCAATGCTACAAGGTTTTAGGCCAGGATACACTTAAGAAGGAAATACGTTAGATCATGGGCAAGGAAACTCATTACTTTAAACATCCCACAGATTTATTTAGCGAAATAGGCCTTGCTACACTTTTTTTTTCCCATATCTGCATTACTTTTTCACATGCAAATGCATAGTTTATGAATATTGCAGGACAGTAGAGAACTGTATCATGCCTTGTGGGTGTATGTGTGAGTGTTGATATCGAGCCACTTCTCAATATATGATTCTTACAGAGTCGCAAACCTACAAAAGGCCTTGATGCATCTAAGAAGGAAATTGGTTAAACCATGGAAGCGGAGTCTTACATTTCACATTAAGAGCAGTCATTTGGCATAGGCCACTCTACAGTTAAACTTTTCCACTTTTGACATCATTCATTGTGGATTAGAACAAGGAAGAACAAATTTAGCCCCTTTAAACACCACCAGATTCTTGGTTTCATGCCCCATAGAACTGATTTACAAAGAGACCTTACCTTCATGTCCTTCATCCACAAAGGAAACATGAATTTTCAATGTGCGCTTTGGCCCATTAAGAAATGTTGGTATAGCTTGGAAATAAAGCCCATCTTTTTTAAATTGTAGCAGTTTTGGAATAGCTTGAAATATCAAACACATCTTTGAATAAAATGTGGTCACATTCTGTGCAAATCATAAGTCTCACTCGAATTGTGGTTGCGTTGGAGATGTATAAGTTGACTAGGCCGAGTCATCCTTATCAACTCATAGCATATCGCATAATATCCTTATGCAAAGCCGCGTTTTCGCCTAAATCTCCAGACATGTCCAACTTTTCCTATTTAACCTTTCATGTGGATCGTCCAATGTTGTAGGCGCGACGCGACCGATGCATCTTAATACCCTACAAGTCTTTGACCAATACTAAAACCTTGAACAGTGGTTGTATTTCATATATTACTTTCACTTCCTTGACTTTAAGGTAGCATTCATTTCTCGATGGTGGGTTTCCAAAGTATTGCAACACAACAATCTAAACTTATTGCTTCGTCAATATCACTCCCTAGTTTACATGATCAGCTTCAACATGTTTACATGTAGGGAGTGAAGTTGTGATCAAATGGTGTGGTTCAAGCCCTTAAACTATTTTTTTTTTTTGTTTATTTCAACAAGATTCTTACATACAATAGTGACCTGAGTAGCATCTAAAGTGGTCTGGGGTTAGGACATAGACATCAAATCGGACTATCATTTAGCCGAATTAAAGTCTCCATGGTATGCCCATAGTGTTGGCATAAAGCTCTAACCTTAGACTTGGCCATTGTCATCCCTATAAGTAAATATACAACTGTCATTGAGGGAAACATTTTCAAGAAGAGCTTGAAATGTGATCCTTTACTTAAAACAATCCAACCAAGAGCAACGGTTAATCGCGTGGGTCCGTTTTTAACTGGATCCTACTTCAATATATGCTCAAGCTCATTAAAGTCAAACCTCTTCGGAAGACTTTGGCAAGCAGTATGGCGTAGTCGTTCATGCAACTCGCCAGAATTGGATGACAGAGTCACAGAACTGCACAATGTAAGAATACTTGCACGTCCCTCTTCCACCATTGTCTCCAAAGAAAAAGTAATTCTTGATATGTAAGCACCTTTTTTGCTGCCCTCTGTTTTGAGACTCTAGGGCAATAAAAACCCTAAAAGTACTCAATCTCACTCTAGATAGCAGCAACCCACTAAAGCTTTCTATTTTTGCAGGAAACTCCCTTCAGATCCAACAGCACTATCACCTCTGTGACTCACAATTTTCAGGAATTGGCTTTGTGCGATGTACTATGAATTTTACGACTCTTGCTCAAATATTTTGAACATTCGCAAGTTTTAAGCAATCTTTAAAATTTTTCAATTCAAGGCGTCAAGATATTGTAAACATTTATTAGTGGAATTAATTGTCTATATAAACCAATCTGGAGAAATGAAAGCAATAAAGTATTGAAAAAGACGCACCTAACACTTGTCTTTTCCTTCTTTTATAGGCTATTGGGTACAACTTCACAAGCAAGATATGCATCAATCTGCAGATACTAGGAAAATGATTATAGGGCTCCCGACAAACTGGACAGTGCGACTCCTGCCAACTATCCATAGCTTTGAAAACACACCAGAAGCATGAAAGGTGACCACACCCTGCAAACAAGGAAATAAGGGAACTGAACTTTGTGAAGAAACAACGACCAATTTGTAGCTTTTGCAATGCCCTTTTACCTAAGACAACTGGTTTGTACAAGAGATCCCTGAAAAATAAACAAAAAAAGGAAAATTACAATCAATCACATTATTTGTCAAAGCAAAAGCAACTTTAATGGAAAATAGTTGATTACTCACACAGAAGATAACCAAAAACCCCTTTGACGTGGTTATAATTGGGGTTTCATTGGAGATGGTTACGTGAACCAAAATTGAGTAGTGACCACTAAAAAAAATTCCATCCCCGTATCTTTTTCCACCCACACGCACACAACCTGTCCTGCAACTTTTGGTATTCTTTGAATTTGCCCAAATACCAAGTTTGTTATCAGCAAAAAAAATACCAAGTTTGTTCTTCAATCAATTTCTTGTAGCACATGCTTCCACATATAATCAGCATATTTCTCATAGATTAACAAACTAACGCCGCTGTAATTCATTCAAAAATTGCAACAAACAAATAGTACCTTACACACACACATAATACAAATCAGGAATCGCCGTAGTTCTTTTAACTCTTAACTTCAGAACGCAAGAAATATGCAAACAATCACGCAATGCGAAACCATATGTATAGCGTATAACTTACAGGCAGACGCAACACTGAAATTCATCAGGAAATTCCTCCTCTACTGCAATTTCAGCAAATTCTTTTTCCAAATTTTCCATAACCGTGCGTTTTGATGAGTTTTTCTCCTCAGATCCAATTCCAGCATGTTCTTCTCTGTCCAAAGTTGTCATCACTGCGTTTATATATGTGTATATGTGTGTTAATATATATATATATATATATATATATATATATATATATATATATAGGCCTAGGCCACTTAGTCGGCGGCTAGGCCCCAATTTTTGTAAAATTTTGGGCCGTCTAAGGTTTTTAATTATGAGTACATTTATTTTGGAGGAACTAATTTAAAAGGATTAAAATTTTAATGATAGGCCCATTAACATTTCAATAATTTATCTAAAATTTTTTTTCACTTGCCAGCTATATTAGACTGCTAGACTTCTGAAACAAGGAAGGTAAACGACTAAATGTCTCTCTCTCATCTGTGAAGGAATTAGACAAATTTTTCAGCATCACTCTATCTTTCTTACACAAATTTATTAACTGCTATCATTACTGAGATTCACTTACAAACCACAGTGTTTGTTTAATGCCACTCCCTCATGCTCTCTCTCTATGAAGTGTGAAGCTTGAATCTGAACAAAGAAAGAACACCAAATCTCTCTATTTTCTTGTAGTTCAAAAATCTATCAATTAATTGATAACGATCAAGATTCAAGGATCAAAATTTTTTGGGCTCAATCTATTATAATAAACTAGTTTGTTCAATTGTTCTCTCATTTTTTATTAGAAATTTTTAGAAGTTTGGTGTGCTTAGAATTTGTAATAAGTTGATTACATATTTTTGATATTATTGTTGATTTATCATTTTCTGACAAAAATTTAAATGCTTGAATCTTGATAGTTGATTGTTAAATGCCTAACTTAGATAAAACGATTAGATTCTTTTCAAAATGCATGTATAGCGTTTAGAATATTGCGGTAACAATTGCTTCAGCAAAGAAAAAATTTTCAAAATTTAAATTAATAAAATCTTATCTCCGATCAATTAGGTCACAAAAAAGATTAATGGATTAACTATATTATCTATTGAAAAAGCTATATAACAAAACTTTAATATAAAAATTTAATCATTATTTTTGCATTTCAAAAAATTAGAAAAATAGCTTTTAAAAGAATATATTTTAATAATTGTTACCTATTAATAAGGCCCCACTTCATATTCTTGCCTAGGACCTCCAAATTTGTTGGGCCGCCCTGTATATATATATACATATATCTCTGCGTGAGAGAGGGAGAGAGAGAGAGAATGGAGATGTGTTGGGTATGCGGTTCTGGCAGTTGCGTGAAGAGGACATGATGGGGATTACAATTTAGGATTTGGGTTTGGGCACGAGTTTGGTAAGATATTTGAGTTTGGTTTGAATTGATTTTAGAAAAATTTGAAAATTAGTCCCTTTCATAGACTTATTTGATGATAAGTCCATCAATATATATATATAGAATATGACTGTTTATTTCTTGCTCTCTCTCTCTTTCTCTCTCTCACACACACACACACATATAATACCGCTTGATTATTATGATTGTTTATTCTCTTAATCCCGAAATATTAAATTATCACGTGTATATAATGATTATCACTTTAATTCATCAAAGAGTGAGGGGTCATTTGATAACGTTTTTGTTTTTGTGTCTTCAAAAAACTAAAAACAGAGACAATTTTTTGTCTCTATTTTGTGATAAACACTGAAACAAAAAACATGGTAGTCATTTTTGTCTATCAAATTATGAGAATAAAAATAAAAAACATGTTTGGTAACTACCTCAAGTTTTATCCTACATCAATTTTTTTTTTTTTTTGAGAAAAAATTTGTATTCCATCGATCAATGAATTACAAGAACCAAAGGAATTCATAGAACTCTAATTAAAAAGAGTTGGCTTTAATCCTTCAACAACACTAAAGCCATAAAACTATCCACACAGTCCACCATCCAGACTGTTCATGCTAAGCATTTGCAAACTGCACTTCCACTGTCAAAACCTCTATCCAGTTGAATCCACAGAAAAAACCTGCTGGCCATTTATCACAAACCTCCTCCTTCTTGCATTAGGCCTCTGTTGCAGCAAGAGCCTGATTAACAGCATTGTGAGCAACCACCGGCACATACCTGTTTTCATGGGTTAGGATTTTAGTCCAGTAGCTTCTAGCACGTGCCCCATAACTCCCTAACTGGGTAATGGTCATCAATATTGAAATTTGCCGCATCTATTTGCCACTGGTGATGAGCTGCACCAAACTTGGCTTTTCCCTCGTGCTTAAGGAGACCCTAAAATTAATAATGGACGAGCAACCATTAAATACTGTGCATTCGAGTGTTACATCCACCTGTTATTGAAGCATCTTTCTGAATTTTAATGAAAGCTGAGGCACTGTTGAAAGAAATGTGAGAAATCAAACTAACTTGGAAGGAGTACAGGTCAATTTCTCTCAAGTCAGAGTCAGTAATTATCTCCTCCTTGCAAGAACCCCAGATAACTTCAGCTGTTCTCTTTGATCTAATCAGTGGGTTGAAATGCATAAACTTTCAGAGAATGGTTCTAGGAACATATAACAATGATCAACTGATCTACACACAAGAATCCATTAACCTAAAATACACATCTGATATTCAGATTCATGGACTCATTATCAATGTCACCAAAATAAATATGATTACACTGCATGTGGGTATCACAACCAATTCCTCCATTAGGTTTATTAAAGCGTCAGAATACACAAAATGATGACATTAAAATAACATTTATGGCATAAATATCATAAGAAAGGGTAATGCTTGGCTCTTCTGATTGTCAACTCATGTACTTTTGACAGAAAGGATCCCTGCAACCTTAGACAGAAAGTTTCGCATCTATTGCTCTTTACACAGGAAAGAGGTGCAAGCTGTGGAGGTTTGCTCTGGTCAAAGGGGAAAAAATGAGTAGGGTTTCAGAAAGCACTTTGAGAAGATGTCTCCTATATTATCCTTTAACACAAATACATAACTACCAAAATCAAGTTTAAAATTCTTGGGTTCCCCCAAATTTTACCTTCAACAAGATTTCTAAGTAAAGGACGGAATAATTAAAGCTCAGTTCTGCTTCCAATCTGCGTATAGCAAGTGCACATACCTAGGAATTACAATGCCTAAAGCACCTTCCCCTACCTCCAATCCAACGTCAATTAGATAAATGAACCTTCCTGGTTGTCGCAAAAAGAAATTTTCCAACTCATTGTATTACTCTGAACAGTCAACAAGTGATAGGAAGTGAGAATAGGATTTTTTTTCCTTTTGGTCTTTGAAGAATTAGCTTTCACTTTCAGTAAGTCCTTTAATAGATCTCCATCATATCACCCATTCCATACCAACAATACAACCTCCATAACAAATATTAGATTACAAATCTTCCAAATTGTGCACTCCAATTGAATGAGGCACCTCTCAAACTATACTCCTCGGGCACAAACATCGGTTATCAAGCTAAACATCTCCAAAAAAATCTAAAAAGGATTCAATATTTTACACTAAATTTTCTCAGCATCCTAATCGTTGCCCTGCGGTACCACAACAAACGAAGCAGGGTATTCATAGAACATAACATTTATGACATAAAATGCAGTATAACTCGAAATATCAAAGCTAAGGGCACACCAAGTGTTCGATGTAATGCCATATCACGATCTACACATATACGATGACATTTATATGTACAAAGTAGAGAGAGAGAGATAGAGAGAGAAGATGAGACCTTGTTGAAGAAGATTTGGCCGCTGGAGAGGGCGATGTAGAGGAGAATGTAGAAGTAGGTTACGACTTCATCTCTGACCAGTTTCCCTATCTGATCCGCAATTGTTGGGCACGCACACTTTCTTACTAAATCAGTGACTCGTGGCCTCTCAAGGACAGATTTGTACGTAGGCTTCTTCGTCGAAATGTGACTGGAAGTCCCTTCTCTTGAGGTAAACCTTCTTCGATCGATCAGCTAAGAGAGAGGAGAAGAGAGGCGCTGAGACAGAGAAGAGAAGAGAGGCGATGCTGAGTCGTTTGTGTTATGCGGACCAAACGATTGAGACCACATTTATATACTCTCTGATAGAGAGTGGTATTTTGTAGTTAAGAGAAATCCAAGTTGAGACCTCTTTAATATCAATCATGCGTGTTTTGTGTTTCTTGAAACACAAATTTTTTATTTCTATTTTTTTGTTTTTGTCTCCAATACAATTAAAACAAAATAAATTAAACATATTTTTGTTTTTATTTTTGACAAAAATTGAAAACAAAAACACAAAACACGAGACAAAAACGATTATCAAACAGACCTTGAGATTCATATTGAATATATAAGCTCGATGAATTGGGAGACAATATTATTTATATGGCGAAAACTAATTATTAAAGGAAACCACGTCCTGATATTTAAATGGGTTGATGATGTACTCTTAAGGAATTTATTAGTTTTTTCCATGTCAAACACTACATATGGATTTAATTATCTGACATAACAAATAAGATGAGTGGTAAGATATTAAAGCATAAAAGAAGTAAATTAAATATAATTCATTCAAAAATTGCAATGAACATATAGAACCTCACAAACACACACATAATACAAATCAGGAAGCGTCGTAGTTCTTTTAACTATTAACTTCATAACTCAAGAAATATGTAACGCCCCAAAAATCACTTTGGACGATATTATAATTTAAAATCATTCACATCATGAGAGCAACTAATATAATTCATCAATAAATAAAAAATTCATTCATCATATCTAATATTTATAATATCATCCCAAAAGAATATGTCAAACCATGACAATTACATCCAAAAGAATCAAATTTAACTTGCAGCGGAATAACAATAATATTAGACTCCACCGAGCCTCAAAAGGAATTTCCTAGTTTAGCACCTAGGAGAGTATTGCCCTAAGCATCTACCTCGGGTTCCACATGCCCGTTTAGCGGAGCTTCCCAATGCACCTATTCATCGACTCTGAGCTCCTCATCTAACACGTAATCTGGAAATATATTATTTGTAGGGAGTAAGCACTAAGCTCTGTAGCAACATTCCTCCCAATCTCGAACAAAATTTAGAAAACGTGTAAAAAAATCGGTTTCATTTCGCA